CCTGGTGCAGAGGCTCCTGCCGCGTGAGGGKTGTTGGAATGCTGGAACATTCATATTTTACACTTTTGTTTAGCTTGGTTTCCTCCTACTGAAGATTTTGTTACAGACTTTGTGTGTGTGTTAATTGGAAATAGTTTCTGGAAGCCAATATATAAACAAAGACTGCCATGTCCCTTGAAGAGCAATAAATAAAGAGCTTTATATAGCAGTTGGGTATACCCACTTCTATAGTGTTGCCAGTGTTTAGTTTTCAAGCTGTTCTCAACTCTGATTTTAGTTCTTGGCATCAAAATAATCAGAACTTATTTCTTATCAAATTATTAGGATTCTACTACTGGAATGTGCTTTAATTAGTGGCTTTCCATGTGTATTAAAAATCCTGACTAAATGATAGCTGATGAGAACTCAGCCCTTGGTTCTGAGGGCCATCTCCCTTCTGAATATCCTGGAAGTTTGTTCCTACGCTGTTGTCTTCTCCACACCTCGTGCCTCTTTGTATTTGCCTACTAGCATAACAGATCCATAGTAATTATTATGGTTTGACTTTGGCCTGTGTTCCATTCCTTAATACCTAAATTTGGTTGGTGTTTGGCCCAGATAGCCGTGTGAAACCTCATACACGCTTTCCCTTGTCAGAATTAAGCCTGAGGGAGTTGGATGGAAGCGCTGTTTGTTTTGAAGATGTTCTAAATAGGTATGTGTAAGTGCTTAAAATAGGCTTGGGCATTGATTATCTTGTCCTCCAGTTAGCTCGATGCACTGGTAACGATCATCCCATTAAACTTTTAAAGCAGTGCTGCAAGAGTAAAATTGATTAGAGCTGTTAATGACCATAACTAAACATGACAGACTGGAAGACCTTCTCTTAAATATATTGGTTCATTTCTAGATCTGTGATAAATCTCACTTTTTTAAAGGGAAAAAAAAAATCCATGAAGTCACTGAAAATATTGCTGCTTTTGCAGTGAAGGACAACTTGAAGCTAATGAATGTGTGGCGCTCTGTTCCTTAGGAATGTGCTGAATATGACGTTGATTGTGCTGTCAGTACAATGAAAACTGTTATGAAAATACTGGAAATGAGTAACACTGATAACTCGTTAGAAGAATAATGTCCTTTTTACTTCTTTGCCAGATTACTCTTTGGGACAAAAATGATCCATAGTTTTATTATATGTGTGCTTTATATCAAATTTAATGCAGTGTGATATTACTACTTCTGAAATTAGAAAAATATAAATAAATGTTACTAAGGTAGGTTATTACAGTGCACTTTTTTCTTCCCTACAGAGTAGACATGAAGGAGCACYATGCACCAGCTTAGCAATGGAGCGTGGTGCTCAGATAGGTTGGGATGGGTGGGTTTCTGTTGGGATGGAGCTTGAATCTGTCAGAACAACACACTGCTAGAAAGATGCAAGCTGGAGGGACAAAGAAGTCTCTACAGACCTACTTGGYCTGTGTGACAGGTTCCRTTACTAGCGACAATCTTCCTTGAAATGATGAGTCATAATTAGGAAATATTTATACATACGCACGTATTTAGATCTCACTGAACACATGTATGTTTTTTGATGAGAGATTGGTTAGGAGTTAGTGCAGATAATGTGCAAATAATCTTGTTTTTAACACAGAAGCAAGATGTGTTATAGGGTAGAAGGAAGGGGAGGAAAAAACTTTTAAAAAAGTGAAGTGTTGGCACTGCTGCTCATTACTGTAATCTTTAGTTTATTAATTTCAGGTTTGTGTCTTTCACTGTAATATGAAAAACAAGAAGAAAACCTCTCGTCAGTGGAGTACTTCTCTTGGGTTTTAAAGCACTAGGAGGCTGACTGTCTCAGAACCAGTCTGATAGACATCACAAATCTGATTCAAACTTTGCAGCTTGCCTTTTTGGCTCGGTCGTAACCTTTTTTTGAGGGATCTGTTGTCTCTTGTATTGTCAAACTAGCTGCTATAGGCAGCTGTACAAAAAAGGAAAGGGCTATAAGGAAGAAACTTTGTTTTAGTAGATTTTTTTTTTTTTAAAAAAAAAAGAACTTTAATTTACCCCGTATTCGTTTTGATCTATAGAGTTCACAGCAATCCTTCTTGCACTTAGATTCTAAGAGCTTTTCTGAGCTTCTTATTAAATTAGTCTTAAAATTCTGCTTCCCAAATTGACAGTTTATTAATGAAATATTTTTCATTTTCAATGAGTAGGAACAACTTCTGCACTGAGCAATAAATCTTCATGACAGTTCTGCAGCATGATATAAATGTAAAATAAACTTGACCCATGGGAAAAAGAGGGATTTTTGGTTGAAGGACTCACGTCCCACTAATGGGAAAATAAATCTCATAATTACTTTGGCTTTCTAAAGACAAAAATGAAAGGATGCTGCATCAAGCTATCTAGAAATTCCTGTCTTAAATGACTATATATATTTTTTTGTATGAGTCAGGTATGTCGTTTTATTTTCGTTACTGGCATAATGTGTTTCATTGAGTACAACTTCACATTTATTCTCTAGATCTATGGATTGAGAAGGATCAAAATAACATGAAGGGGAAAGGAGAGTATGTGGGGATTATCAGATAGTTCTACAAGTTTGAACATAGCTTTCATATGAATATGGATGTGTCCTTCCTTATTATATTGTATCCTCATCTCTTTACTTGAGGGGGACATAGCAGCAGTGGCTGGGTAAAGACATCCCCTGTATCGTGCTTGCGGAGCCCAGCACGTGGCTGCATCATGCCCCTCGTTAGAGCAGAAATGCRTCCATGGCTGACTGTACGTATATTGGGTTTGGTATTTCTTCTTACATTTAGAAGCTAACTAGAACATTTTATCAATTATGTCCCTGTTATGGAAATATTTATCAACACTAAATCCTCTCCACATCCTGTGCTCATGTGCTGTTGTGCGTGGCCCTTGAGCACTGTGCCTGGGTCTCCAACCTGAGTGCAAAAGCAGTCTTCCCTGCAGTCTACGCCCTTCCCTTTCTTCTTAGGAAGTTGCACACCTGTGCCCCTTTTAAAATTGTTTTTAAACTTCATAAATATTCATGGTGTACAGGCTTATGACTCAGTACAAATAAGATAGGTAGGTATTTTGATGAGGGTGGAGAGGGTTTGTTTTGTACGTTGCTTCTTGGAACCAGCGTTGGTCTTGCTGGCTGACCATGGAAAGATCCCGCTTGTGACCATTTGCCACACTAGCATTCTTGTTTTCACCAGGTCTGGGATTATGAGCAATCAGCCTGGGTAATTCAGAACTGATGCCACCTTTCCTTTGAGGAATGTTAGTGGTTCTAGTTATGTTAGGAAATAATCGTTCTGAAGATCACCAATTACACCTTAATGTTTTTCTTTTTAGTTTGGATTACTCAAATGCTAAATGCCCCTTCTAACTGTAGAATTATCACACTTAGAACCATGTTGCAATAAGAACATCAGTGGAGCAATGTAAACTTACACCTTTGAGGATGCTTCCTATGTGTTGACAGTGCGAATAATAAGCGAGATGTCTGATAAAATGTAGAATCACGTAGTTAGCTCTTTTGCAAAGAATCATCTAGTTCAATCTTTTGCTTAAAAAAGGGTCAATCCTGAGTTTAGACCAGCTCGCTTAGGGCCTTGTCCAGCCCAGTTGTGCAAAAGAACCCTGGAGCCCAAAGCTGGAGCCTGTGATCCAGGTGGCCCCGCCGAAGCTGTTGCCTCCTGGGATGCTCYGCTCTGCTCTCGTGGGTGCTGCCGCCTGCACGYGCAGAGCAGCCGCCTGGGACCGCTGCCCGCAAGCCTGTGTCCCCACTGCAACTGCTAAATACTCTTCTTCGGCCTCCCCATGCAACATTTGATGAGATTAAATTGTTGAACAGCAAAAGATAAAAAGTATTGAAAGCGTTAATAATCATTTCTGTTTCTGCTTTGTAACAGACCATGGAGAAACAAATGCAGCGCTGGCTATATCCCAACTGTCATTGTCAGTGGAAATAATGTCTAGGATTATTTGGGATTTATAAATATTGCTTATAAGATTTTGGAAAAGAAGTGTAGATTACTTTGAAATCCCCATGCCCTTTCTATTTTTTCTTTTAAAGARTGATTGAAATGTGGTTTCTGTGTGTTCTCTATTTGGTCTCCTGCCAGGAAAGATTCAAATTGGATGATGTTTAAAAGGAAAGATTTTTACTCATTCTTTCTAATATTAAAATTATTTCTAGAAGCTAGGGTGGTAGATTAATAATCCTGATGTCCTCATATATCCTTAATACTGTATGTATGCTTTTTCTAAACAGCCAAGTCCCCTTTGCCACCTCTGCTGGATGTTGATTCAGACATGAATGGTACAACATTTAAATTAGTTGTGATTTAATGACAAGGACATTGTCATTCATGGTAGCATTCCACATCCATAAGCTACRTATTTTGCATATATCCATTTTTAGATATACTCAAGTAACATAGGTCCTATGAAGGCATAAGAGTTATCTTCTAAGAAAATTTCTGTGGTACACTACCTAAGTTTGTACTTTTTTATTTAAAATTAAGCTGAGTTGACAGAATAGACATAGAAGGATAGTTTCAATAATGAAATTAATTAAATTGTATGGTGAATACAGTGGGTCTGCCCAATGGAAATGCAGCTTATATAAAGAGCTGGTTGTACTTATCCAGCTCCAATTCTGTACCTTTTGGGAAGTTAGTAACAGAGAAGATGTCAGTATGGAAGATTCTAATGTTCTTGATTGCTGTAGAACAGATATTTTTATCTTTTTTTTTTTAAATTACTTTTAATGTTAACTCTTTCTAGGAAGCTGTGTTCTTGACACCCTTTATCCAAGAGAGCCTGGAGGAGAGAGCGTGTTTTTACGATGGTGAGAAACTACCCATTAGGTAAGTCAAATGCTAGTGTCTGACATCCATCTGGGTTCTTTTCAGTTTGGAAAATCAAAGCTGGGAGTTGTAATTGTAACTGTGCAAGTTGAATCAGTTGCTGTTGGCAGGTGATATGAAGATATTGGTGACTGGGACATCTTGGATGAGGAGAAAGACGATTGTGTGACCTGTTCATTTGCCTTGTGTGAGGAAACGACTGAAACATGTAATGAAATGTATTATCCTATAGTTTCKCTAGTATGCAGAAAAAAAGTCAGGAAGCTGAAGTTAACTGCACTGAGAGGGTTCTTGGAATGAGCTGCTTAGTAAATAGTGAACATCCATGTACCTAAGCAGATTAAATATATCTAGATGTAATTACATATGTATATTGTCTCTACTTGTCATTTTCTGGAGTGATACATTGTAAAGCTGCCTTCTATTTTGGATAAATTTAAAATGAAAGTTTGTTTTATTAAATTAGATGTGATCATTTTTCTTTGTCAGTAAATTTTATATAGAAACATAAAAAACAYGGAGAGAACAATGAAGGTAACCTTCTGGTGTACGTTTCGTGACAACCAGATCACTGAATTATTTAGCACTGCTCTGTATTGTCCATTTACTGTTTGATAGATCATTTTACACTATAATATTGTTACTGCATAGAGAAAAATGCAAGTTCAGCACTCTCAATGACCTTTGGAAAGGGTAGTTTGTTTGGGAGTTTCAAATATGATTGGTGTTTTCCAGACTCTTTGGCTATTGTTGAGAAACCTACTKAATATCTGTTAAAAATCTATATTGTAGTTTGAATATCTGTGTTACTTAAATAGGGAAAAAATTATCTTTAGAAGTATTTTTTGTCTTGATATCCTTTTAGTTATGTTCATCTTTAATACAGGAATCCATGAGATAATTTGAAATAAAATATAGCAACATTTACTGTTTTTTTGGTCACGTTTTTTCCTCCCTTTTTTTGAAAGACATCTCTAGAAGTTTGTTCATCAGTGACTGTTATTGTACACCTTGCCTAGTTTTGACAATAAATAAAGCAGTTGAGTAAGGTTTTAACATACATACTTGTGGAAAGGTATTGATATATATTTGGAATGTAATTAATATGGCTTCTAAGGCTTAGGTGACTTCCATTGCAACAATTAATCCTAGTTCAGGAAATTTGTTATGTTTGGGGCTGGTTGGTCATTACTTTTGGACAGATGTTTGAGCAGRTACTATAATACCTCTTCTTAGGTAAAACAAGATGCAGGAAAAATGATAGATCATTGAAAACTTACCTGATTTAGAATTATATTTGACCTTAACTGACATATTAAATCGATACTGTTATCTAAATTCCAGGATTCTTAAGTTTTACTAAAGCCATCCAAATAAAACTAAATTGCTGTACTGGGGTGAGGGGGAGGGAATTAAAATTTTCTTTAAAAATATAGTTTTTAAAGACAATAAATTATGATATGATTGCTGACTTAGTATCTTTTTTTTTTCTTATTTTTCTCTCTAGATGTTCAAATTTCTGACTCAGTCACCATGTACTAATGAGGAAGAAAACCTAGTCAACACAGTTCTGTGTAGGGTTTTTTTTTTTTTTTTTTCAACCTGTGGTGCTTGAAGACGGGTAGGGAAATCTCCAAGGAATGGAGTTAGCTCACAGTTTACTACTTAATGAAGACGCATATAACCAGCTTGGTGAATTCCAAAAAGCAGAGTTCATTTTCGAATGGTTACAGTTTTTGGAAAAGCTTTTACCAGTGACTAGCAAAGTAAGTATAATGTGAATTTAGAAAGAAAATATATATGTATGTATTTTATGTCTTTTTTTTTWWAATTTCTTTCAATTAGTCACATTTTTTCAGATTRCTTTCAGTAGAAAAGTAGAATAAAACTTTTTTTTAGTAAGAATGTCAGAATAACAATAACTAAATTAGATGAAGAGGTAAAAGAGAATTATCTTTACCTAATTTGAAATTTAACTGAATGCTAACTGTTCACTATTTAAAAAAAATTAATTTTATTTATTTTTATTTCTAGGCTGATATAAGGGAAAACCAGAAGAAACTGGTTGAGCAATTGACTTGCTTGTTAAACAGCTCACCAGGACCTCCGASTAGGCGGCTGATTGCCAAGAATTTAGCTGTACTTTATAGCATTGGAGACACTTTTTCTGTTTATCAAACAATTGACAAATGCAATGAACTCATTCGAAGTAAAGATGATTCACCAAGTTATCTGCCTACAAAGCTGTAAGTGTTTATGTGTTTTTTTAATCCTAGACTTCAGTTCCAATAATAACAACAGAGAGATACTGCTGGAAAGAGGTGCAGGTAGGGGATGGTATGTCCCTTCACTTCTTCCAGTTGAGCAGGGTATGGTTTGTATCATGTGACACTGAAAATGTGGAAGGTTCCCTGACTACCATCATTCTTGTGGGTGCACCCTTCAGTATAATATCTCCAAAATTTTTGGAGAATGAGTATTAGCATGGGGAACTAAGCTAATCTGAAAACTGAAAGCCAATTCAAATTGCTTTCAGGGCAGAATTAGGAGTAGTTTAGCACTCCTGCAGCGTTTTGTGTGTCATTTTGTTTACTGGCAATTTTTGGCTAAGAATTTCTGTAGAATATTGTGAATAAAGGAATGTTTCACAACATAAAAGGTTCGGAAGAGCTTAAAATATATTTTTCTTCCTTATTTAGAAATTTCTTCTTGTRATTCACATAAACATAAAAAATCAATCCCCTTGTAAGGTGATTATTTTTGACATTTTTAGCACAGTTAAATTGAGTAACTGGCTGATGGGATTCAGCCTAGATTGAGCATGTTAGATCACATTTGACTTAGCAAGATGTTTAGTGTTTGTTGTGCCTACTGGAAAAATAATGCCTTAAGAGTGACATGAAAGTTAAGCTAAAATGACTTGTGTGTGTGTGTTAAGCTTGTACCTGTCCACTGTCRTTCAGAACTATGAATAACCATAGTATGCCTTAAAGTAATAAGGTGAACTGAGGCCAATTTATGCCTTATGTTTTTGTTCAGTAAGGGAAGAAAAAGAAGCTGACAATACATACAGAATTCTGTTGTCATCTAGAAGGGCCTGTGTTGTACAGAGAGATAAACAAGCGCTGCTATTTCTTTTCATTTAAAAAAAAAAAGAAAATAAAGAAATATTTTAAACTGACATAACATTGGTAAGGGGAAAAAAAATCTATCTGTGTGATAAATCTGAGTTCATATAATTCCATAGGATAAATTTTGAAATTCCATAAGCTGTAGGATTAACTTTGAAACAAGGAGTATGGTGATGTTAAATATAGTGYATTTGCAACAAGAACCAAACTGATAGGAAACAGTTGGTGAGTTCCAGCCAGACAACTGACAGTCAGGCCAGAGAGAATATCATCAATGAGTAACACAGAATATCATGGGTAGGTGTCTGAATAGTAGTAGTAGTAGAATTGCTGAGAAAAGCTGTAAAACAGACTAATAYAACTCCAACTGCAAAATACAGTTAGTGAATGTATTTCATAATCCAGCTGGGGAACTGGAAACAGTTGGTTAGAAACATCAGAAATGTCTGTACAGAAATGGCACAAGCTGAGCCAGCAAAGTGGAGGAAYTGAATGACTATTGCAGGATGTGAAACCAATTCTTACAAAATCACTGTGAACTATGAATAGCATTCATGCCGGTGGGAATCTATATCTTCCACCATATTTAAGAAAATAGGATATAAATAGAGTTAATAAAACATGACTGTGTATTAATGGTGCAGTATGTAGATAAAGCTCTGTGTGTGTGTATATATCTTTAAACTAATTTTATATATCGACATATGTATCTTAAAACTAATTAAGGAAAGTACCTGTGACTATCAAAGTATTTAGATGTTGCAACTGTAATTTTATGCCCAACCACAAATACAAGGCAAAATGTAATTACAAAATGTCAACGTACACAAAGTTGGACAAAAACAATAATGAAAAATATGTCTTTGGGGAAAACAGGATTTTGGTGTGATAAGAGATAAGATTATTAGGTTTGTTTTTCTTACTCTGTTTCGTTACTTGTTGAATGGCTGTTGATATTAAATAAGTTCTTCTAACTAAGAAGGTCTTCAGTATGGGATTTAACGACAACTTAGGTAACATTTTAGTTAAATTGAGGTATAAATAAAATTTTGTTTTCTTCAAGAGCTGCTAAATGTTGTCACTGGATATTCAGCAGGTCTGACCAAGGAGCAGAAAGCTGATTAAAGATGGCATTCTTCTTGTATTCATCAAAAAAATGACTGGTTTACCTGCCGATATATTTACATATTTGCCTGAAATAGATTTTCAAAGGAAAACCATTCTTTAATTAAACAATTATTTCCTATTATTTTGTTTTCTTTGTTCAATACTTAATACTCAGCAATTTTGTTGTTTGTTTATTTTTGATAAAGGAAACACCTGTAGGCATATAGGGCATGCAGATTCCAGCTATCAGGTGTTTTATCCAGAAGCTAATTTTGGAATCTTTTTGCAGCAAAGAGACATGRGTTTGAAATTTGAATTGCAAACAAGTTCTCTTAAAAGTGTTTTGTCATTATTTATGATTATACTTAGATCCAGAGTCTTAAGTCTGACACCTAAATTTACTTTTACAAGAAACTAAAATTGTGAGCAAAGCTAAATTGTGAGCAAGCCTCTCCTTGGCTGCTTCCAGCAGTATTTGCCCCTGCACAGTGACACAGACTGCATGCTGTAGGTCATCATTATTTAGGCGTCTATTCATAAGACTTAAAAGTCTTATAGGAAAGGAAGATAGGAAAAAAAAAACTATAATAAAATTTATTGGGGTATGTTATTATCTGAATTTCTGTATTTTTCAGCCTATTTTCTCAACTCCAGCATCCTTAGTTCTCATATAATGTGTGCCACACACAGACCCTTTTTTTCCTTTTAATAATCCACCTACCTTTCTGGAACACTAATATTTACTTATTATGTTGGTTGCCCATTTATTACATCAGTCTCTTCAGTCCTTTTCATCTGTTGTTGCATTCATTTTCACGCATTTTTGGATTTGCTTTGTTTTAGTGCTGCGGTGGTATGCTTGGGCTATTTGTACAAAAAATTGGGAAGAATTTTGGGAAACAGTTTTACTGACACCGTTGGGAATGTACTTAAAGCAATGAAGAATGCAGAGGTATTGGAACAGCATGTTTAAAAGCCTGAGAAAATAATATATTCTTTACTGTTGGTAGCTGGGCCAGTGAATAGGAGAAATTGCATGATACCAATATATGAAAAAATGGTAGAAAGTCACAGGATAAAAATCATCAATGTCTAAATACCAGAAAGGACTACAGAATGTAATGACATATGACTATAAATGGATGGATCATAGTATTTTCAAGATGATTTTGTGGAAGAAATTGATAAACAAGACTAATTGCATTAATTAATGAGAACATTTGTGATTTGTGCTTCATTTCATATTTTCAGCATTAAGTTGCCAGTGAGTAYTTTCTGGTGGAACACAGACTTGTTATTTTCACTTTGTAGTCTTATAGCACAAGTTACCTGCTTTAACTCACCTCAACCAAAAAATTTCCAAACAGTTTTTAGAAAACAAACAAACAAACGCTGTTTCAGTAGTCAGTATTTTATATTTCTCAGGATCTTAGCATTGCAACTTTAACATTTCATCTTTTTCCTTTTTTAGTCTCAAGGTCGTTATGAAATCATGCTTAGTTTACAGAACATATTAAATGGTCTGGGAGCTGCTGCTATCCCCTGCCACCGGGATATTTACAAGGCTGCCCGCTCCTGTTTAACAGATCGATCCATGGCCGTCCGCTGTGCTGCCGCAAAGGTAAAGTGCTCATTAATTGTCTTTATTAAGTAACTTCCCTAAATAGCCTTGTTTTAATGGATGATAAATATAGCACTAAATGTATTGTTTGCTCATCTATATTGCTTTCTTAGACATTGCCTTAGCAGGGAAAATTTAAATCATTTTGGTGTGAAGCATCATATTTATTGGGGAGAACCGTGTACTATGTTGCAAGCTAAAATCTGTATTGAATGCTTTTGCTTATTTACCTTAAAGAGTTTTTTTTTTTTTCTCTTTTGTCTAGTGTCTTCTGGAACTTCAGAATGAAGCAATTTTTATGTGGAGTACAGAGCTAGATAGTGTTGTGACCCTGTGCTTTAAATCCTTTGAAGGTTCCAATTAYGACGTGCGGTTAGCAGTTTCAAAGCTCTTGGGCACCGTGTTGGCTAGAGCTGTAATGTCAAAACACACAACAGGTGAAGTACATATTTTGCTTGCTGACTCTTCGTTTGTTATTAAAAACAAAAAGAAAAGGCAGTTGACCAAAACCTCTCAAGTTCTTCTCTAGCTATGAGTAATACTAGATCAGAATATCAACTCTGGRTTAAGTCTCTGGTGGTTCTTTTCATTCCATGCTTGAAAGAGAAAGTTAGCTGTAATGAATATCTCACTTTAGTTTGCATACTGTCCAGCTATCATGTCCCAGTGTGTATATTAAACTTTTTATATATAATATGAAATTCCTTGATTTTCTTTGGTAGTAAGATGGAATGTGGCTTTCAGGAAACCTGAAGTGCAAGAAAAAAATATTGGAGTGGAGAGGAATAGACTATACTGTCTCTTTTGCAGAAGTGAACATGGTCATAAATGATGAGGTCATAAATGACGGTCATAAATTATGTGTATATTCAAAAGTACTGGGTGCTAATTATTTTTGTCTATAGCTGAAGCAGAAGAATTTTAGTACCTTTTTCTTAGTTCCCAAGAGCACTGTTTTTCAAAATCTCTTCTGTTTAAACAATATTTTGAATTGGCTAAACCACTGAATTTGTGCGAAACAATTTTAATGATTAGAGTTGGAACTTTCCTTCCAAAATATAAAAAGTTTTACAGACATATTTTTCTAAATGTAGATACCTGTTTTTAGCATCCACCAGGCAAAACTTCCGCCAAGTCTCTCTAGAAGATGCCATGGAGCTGTTAGCCACTGGATTTTTACGTGGAAGTTGTGGATTTCTGCGAGCCAGCGGTGATATGCTCAAAGGAACTAGTTCAGTCAGCAGAGATGTGAGAGTTGGAATCACCCAGGTTTGGATTACATTTTTTGTGATTTTTCTAAGAGGGAGAGACATTCCTATAACAACTGTTTTCTTGTCATATTTCTCTTCATCCTTTTTCTTATCTGGTGTAACACAATTTATAATAAGAGTTTTCAAATTTAGGTATGCTAAAAAAAAAAAAATTCTAAAGTTTCAAGCTTTTCTAATAGTTTGAAATTGTCCAAATCAAATATCGTATTGTTTGTGATAACTTSTAATAATATTAATTTCAAACAACACATAAATCACTTCTGCAAGTATGTTTTTTAGATTTAAAACTTAATAAATACCATATGTCTAAAAAGTGTGAAGTTACAATAATTGCAATAATTATTTTACTTGAAATGAGATTTCTTGTATTCTCTATAGGGAAATTTCATCCCCATTCTGAAAGAATGGTTCTATTTGAATGAATCATTGAAAAATAAAGGAAAGAGAATTTAGTTGAAAAATAAATATATATTTATAATACATATTACTGTATTTCAGGCTTACTTGTAAGGGATAGAATCTTGTTATCTGAGAAATAGTGAAATCRGAGCATATAGTGCATGCTGGTAAAAACTGCATAAATATTTCAGATAAAGTCAAATTAACTTTTTGCTGTGAATGTTATTTTAAAGTACATTTACAGATTAAAACCTAATTATTAAAATATTAGCCATGATGAAAGGTGATGAATGTTTATGTTCAAACAGCTGTGATAATTTTAATACATTTCCATCTCTACAGATGTTTGATATTTCCCAGTTGCCAATAATAGAATTGCTTGAGCGCATTTCAACTTCTGCAGTGCAAAAATTCTGTAAATTAGCTTGAATTATTGGTATCAATTGCCAGAATTGCTAAAAACGTGCTCACATGTGTCTTCTGCCTTCAGTTGATGCTGGGTGGGAGTTTTCTGGCAGAGGGGCAAAACAGCTGGGAGCAATAGTATCTTTGCTGTTTGTCAAGAAAATGCATGCCAGTCTCCTCACGTTTTCTAGGGACCCAGAGCAATCTTAATGTTTATTTTTTTCAAGAATAGGTAATTCAGTTAATTATTTTAATACTTTTTACTGGGTTTGGGTTGCCTCCTTTTTGCTGTACAGAGGAAAATTGACATTATAGTTGATATAATAGCACCTGTGCTAGATGATTTATACACTAACTGTACCATCAGACTTCGAGTAAAGTGTTAATAAGCAAATAATTGAGTAAATCTGCATATATCAGTGCGTGTATATTTAAAAAAAAAAAAATTGAACTTATATATTATCATGTGAATAACAAGTTGTCAGGTGAATAACAACTTGCCAACAAGTTAAAATTTATAGAAGTATTGAAGATGACATTTTGAATATGGAAGGATAATTTGTATTTGATCAGCATTAAGCCGCATTAAAAAGTATTGTGTTTAAATAATGTTGCATTAGGTAAGTATTATGTTTTAATGATGAGATGATGGGGATAGAAATTGAAAGTCCYTAGCTGAACTCAATTATACTGTTAAAGAACTAAGCTGTTGATGGCATTGTACTTTAAGCACAAGAAGTGGTTATCAGATGAATTTAGAAGGAAATGCAGTAAAGCTGAGATAGTGTACAAAGGCTTGCAGGAGATGGACATATGCCCTTTAGCTGTGGTCAAATACAGGCGATCATCTGTTCTATTYCTCTTTATTCTGACTCCCTGCATTTCTAAATTGGCTTTAAAAACAACTGTCAGAGTAATTAAATCCCCTTAACTAACTCTAGCAGTGTGATTCTTCATAAGGCTTTCCTGTTAAATTGCTATATGGTCAAATCTGTAAAATGAAGGTAAGTACGGGCTCATTATGAAGCCAAAGTAATATTTGTAAAGAGCTAATATTGAATAAAAAATTGTTTACCCAACTGCTGACTTTTTTATATATCCAGAACCTGGGTTCTTTTTTTCCTCTCTCCAGAAGTATTTTGCTGGGAACTCTGAGGGGAAGAGAGAGACGGGAGAAAAAARRAAAAARRAAAAAAAAAAAAAAAAAAAAGTACTACTGCAGTACTTTACCTCTTATTACATGAATAATTTAGTTATTGATATTAGACACGGGAAAAGCATACATTGGGTAAATACTCAAGTTTAGTGGTAATAAATGTGGGCTTTCTTAYGAGAAGTTTGTCTGTGTGCATAGTCTCTCTATTCACTTTTCTTCGTGATAGCAAATCTATTCATTAAAAGCAGAATCCAACACATACACTTGGAAGACACTTGTAAGGGAGTGGGGAAAAAAATGGTCTTGTGCTTAGGTTTGTATAATGGCTCTGCTTTCTTTCTTTGTTGTGACATCCATTGTCTTTTTGTGGTACCTTCACTGCAAATCAAACAATTAAAATTCACCGAAATGAAGAACAGTGCATGTGGCTGCAAATATTCCCTAATTCAAAGTTTATAATGACAAAATTCTCTCAGGGCTGTGTGTTGTACTTCTGCAACATAGTAGTTCTTAAAACGCGTTCCTACATTAAACTTGGGTTTCACGTGCAGAATGCTAACTAGCTGGAAGCTGTTGTTCAGTGAGACTGAGCACGATGTTTTACATAACAAGTGCCTGTGCAGGGTGAACTGCCRTTTCTCACACTCTGAAATGACGTACAACAGGCAAGCAGCTTAATTCACTTACAGCCAAACCGAACTGCAGTATTACCAGTACAGTTTTTTAATTTGTATCAATTGAAACATTTATTTAAAATGCAGTTACCAGCATCTGAGAAATATACATGATTTCTGAATGTGTAAATGTATAAATCATCTCAGTTTAATGGTTTTATAGTTGTGGCAAAGCGCAAGGATCGAAAACTATGTACAGGGGATAGCTGGCAGTGTTTTTCCAGATGGTATTACTCTAAAACATGACTTCTTCTCAAATCTCTTTCAGGCATATGTGGTATTTGTCTCCACGTTAGGAGGACAATGGCTTGAAAGGAACTTCTCTGCCTTCCTCTCCCATATTCTAGATCTCGTGTCTCCGTCTCACCCCAAGGCTACTCAGGCTCAGATGGATGCTATCTGCTCTCGCCGCTGCGTTTCATTTATCCTTCGAGCTGCAGTAGGAGGCCTGCTTGGGGAGAAGGCTCAAATTGCAGCTGCCAGGGAGATTTGTCAGGCCATCTGGAAATTGAAGAAAGTTGTGGGTATGAGTCTAACAAGATTATCCATTCAGGCCTCTGTTTTTCTTTATTTGAATGATTGTTTGTCCAGCTTCCTAATCCAGAGACTGCAGGAATAGAAAATCTAGTGCCCATTTATTACCATAATAATGTAGAGGGCTTCTGTTGGGTGCTTTTGTTTTTTAACTCGGGCTAGGTTTTGATTGGTGTGTGTCTGTGTGTGTGCACACCCATACAGACACAGATGTAAACTCAAAAAAAACCAAAAACAAACAAAAAAAAACCCCCTCACCTTTTTTCTAAGGTTCATTTTATTAAATGATAAATATTATAAAAAGTATGACAAAAAAAATACACAGTATTGTAAAGTGGTCTCAATTAGTAGCTGGTGTGTGACTAGCGAGACTCTGCATTCCTAAATCAGTGCAGCTGACAATCCTGATGGTTCAAAAAACAAGAATCAGTTGCTAACTGACAAAGCAAACATTTCTCTTGGAGAAAAAGGTGGTTTATAGGATGGAGTGCTGTCCACAGCCACTGCGCAAGCGGCTGCTATCCTAACGTCCTCAGCCAGGGAAGAGAGATTGCAAGAGGTAGCCAGGCGTTCCCTGGTATAAGCCACGTGTTGCATCTTGGTTAAATATGTAGGAATAAATTCTACAATTCTATCTATTCCATAAATGATTTTATTATTTATAATAATAAATATRTAGCCACTTGGTTATATACGTAGGAATCAAAACTGACAATGATTTTTATTTCAAAAGGGAAACTTGCAGAGAAATGTGTTTTGTTTTTTTCTCTCTTTCTCTCCCTGCTCTTCTTTCTTTGTAATACGAAGTAGTAAATTCTGTCAAACTGTATATATGATATATATGAGACTGAAAATAGCCTGCTGCTTTGTAGACACCACGTCCYATTCTCTGTCAGGTAAGCAATATGGCAGTTTGTATTTTTCTACCTCCTTGGCCTCTCAGAAGTTGCTACAACATCTATTTCAGTGATAGAAGTGTGCTTGGTTCAATGAAAGCAAACACTTATCAAGACTGGTCAATGATAAAAATGGCAATGATAAAAGCTCATGTAGTAGTGCAGGTAACTTACCATAGCAAAGTCCTTTCTCCAGTCTGCTTTATTTTGGCCATGATTTCATAGGAGTTTCCCACTGTTGCGTTATCAGATGCTGCAATGAGTGATGGTAACTTGGAAACACGAATTACAACAGATGTGACAGCAAGTCAGCATGTGCTTGTGTGTGTGCTGCAAGAACTCGGGAGTCTCATCCATGGCTTAGGAACTACAGCAGCACCATTACTGCAAGATTYCAGTACAGGTACATACCTTCCAATTTACATGGTTAAGGTTTGTATTGAAATTGAGTCCAACACACACTGTAGTGTTTACAGTAAATCAGTTTGATCAAGCTGAGTATCTTCATGTATCTTTACTGTTTTCATTTAACCTCAATAAGAATTTTAATTTTTTTAATTGATCTTTATTCTTTGCTTTAATCTGAATGCATTCATATGTACCTTAGCTCCAACCTTGAAAAGTGATCGATTCATGTGGACCTCTATTTCCCCTGCATGGTTTTCTGTTTCCTTGAATATACTTACAGATATTTCCTGTGCATGATATTTTATATTTGTTTTACGCTACTATTTTTCACTTAGATTAACCTTTTAAAAAAGGTTTTGAAGGTTTTAAAAATGATGAAAGTAATAAGAAACAGTATCACTATAAAAAGAGAAGTACAGAAACAGAACAGTGGTGTGTTTACCATTTCTCAGTATAGACTTTTGCTTGTTTTAAGAGTCATATCCTTCGCCGCCACCTTAAGTGTGCTTATTCCTTTATTTTCCAGGAATTCTGGAAGCGGTCATTTCTGTCATTGTTCATCCCAGCGTGGCAGTTAGGCTAACAGCAGCGTGGTGCTTGCGCTGTATTGTGGTAGCGCTGCCGTCCTACGTGTCCCTGCTGCTGGATCGCTGCATTGACCGTCTTAGTGCATTGAAATCCTCCCCAGAAGCAGTTACTGGTTATAGTTTTGCTGTTGCTGCTTTGCTGGGTGCAGTGAAACTCTGTCCTTTAGGAATTCCACATGGAAAAGGGAAGGTATGGCTCTAAAACTTTACTTAGAGGTAACTCTTGGATCTTTGCAGTAGTAATTGTATGTACTATGTGATTATAAAACTAGTATTCCCCAGTATAACCATGTAAGACTTCTTTTTCTYGAGGAGTTTTCCAAGAATATCATAACTCAAGTGTTTTCATCTGAGAAATGTTTTTCATGGATGTGTCAGAAAAACAACTTGTCGGGATTGTGAATTTCTTGAAATAAGTTATATGTCGTTAATGCTTCTGTTAACCACTCAATCTGCTACCTTGTCCTAATAGAAAAGCTGCCTATTTCTGCCCTGTCTTGGGATAGAAGTCAATTCTAAGGAAGCATGAGGACTWAAATTGAACCATCTTAAAAAAGATATATTTGCAGAATAAATTTCTTGAAGACTTAAGTTTTTCAGAACTGCAAGTTTTTTCCAGCAAGAGTAAAGCTTCTGTACTTGYGGCCCTGTTTCTCATAGTCATAAACTGGCATGCTGAGTTTTTCCTGTGAGCTTCACAGCAGTGTTAATGATAAGTAAAAGATGGACTGAATTGCACCTGAAATGTATCAGGTTTGGCAAAGGAAAAGATTTTTCTTTTATAAAATACTAATTGGACAGATACAAACAGATCTGTTGCATGCTGGAACGTTAGAAATCTATGKTTCTCAGATGTAAACCAATTTAAACACAAATTAATCCAAAAATTTCCTTTTCTTACCTGTGACTCTCCAGTATACATTTTTGCCAGTATTTAAACCAGTTAATAATTGCGTAATATTTTGAAAATCTTTAATCAAGTTTATCAAATATCYTCATGTTGTCTAATAAAATTTAACAGAAATGAAATTCTTGAATCAGTATAGTATAAAAGCTCCTGCCAATCTTTCCACTGGCCTATATCATGCTCTGCAGTTTTAGGGTTAGGGATATCCAAATATGGAAATTAAGGGTAGAAGAAGAATCAGTGTCCATCTACACAAGACCTTTATGCATTTCACAACTGGAAAACCAAGGTGCAGCACGAATATGAGCAGTGCACGTGTACTCCCTGCACACTAGAGCAACTTACCTTCCCATTTCTGAAAGYGCTGGTTCAGAGGCAGGGTCATAAGGGCAGTAAAGTCCTGTACCTTGCGTTGGCACCAATTTTTTCTCTCTCCTATTATTGTGCCCACTGTAAGATGAAAAGAAGGCTTTAACCTATTAGCAAATACTGTCCTTGTAGTAAATTCATCCCTCCTGTTCAATACTATTGAGTACTAGCAGTTACACAGCACTTAGGAACATACATTACTATTTACAATTCTCAGCATTCAAGGTCCCAACTTGATGAAACATTTTTCAGCAGAARGAAGAAGCATTGTCTTTGTTCGTTTGTTTTGGATTTAAAAAGACATTATTGGGTGTTTACCTACCAGAGAGAACAACCAGGGAGAGAATGAACTGTGTAGTTTGCACAGATGATCAGTTAACTTCATGCTTAGGTATAAAATATTTGAATGTCACTTTTTAACAGGAAAACATAATTCTCAGCAAAGTTTTCTTTTAGAGGAATGGAATAGGATCAAGAGGGAAGGCATGGGAGAGCAGAGACGAGCAGTGTGAGAAACAGTATATTGTGCACTAAGTTGTTGTAAGGGAGAACAGAAGAGTTTAAAAGCTCTTTTCCATTCTCTTCTAGGAACACTGCCAGATTCCAAATTATCTCCTCTTCAGAGGCACTGAAAGAGACCAGTGTTAAATAAAGCAGTTTTGAAAAAGAAGTGCGACCTGGGCATAAGCTATATTATGTTAGTGCATTTTCCTTTGCAAGAGAGTGGTTAGAGTTGCAGGCTCAAGTGGGACTTATTCAAAGAGACAAAATAATCACTTTATATATATTCATAATTCTGTACTAGTGTTCTATTTTAGCTTTTAAAAACTCCTTCAAAAACAAGTCATACATGTTAGTATACAGAAAAGCTATCAGAAATCATTAAATGAAGCCCTTTCTTGTATGTTTATCAAGTAACCTGAATATACTAAGCTATTAGTAACATTTAATAATATCATTTAGCAAGGATACTGTTTTAATTTTTAGACTCAAGTATTTTTATCGCAATAATTTTTATTTTTAATTATCAAAATTCCATCAAAATAAATTTCTTAATTTGTAGACACCTGATAGCATTATGGAATTTGAGCAAACAATCTTTTCAGTCCATTAGCAATTCATGCAGTTTTGTAACTGTGCACTGAGTTAGAGAAAGGTACTCTCTATAGCGAGACTTTTTAATGAAGTTATTGGTAAAGGCACTTCTCATTTATATTTTTCATGTGTAGTTTTCATGCAGTTTGTTTTGGCAATCAGACATAATGCAAGATACAAGAAATACATTTTGGAATCTAACTGAAGGAAAGACTGCAGAATGTTACTGCAAATTCTAGCCGTTCTGTGGTGGATTTTCACGGGCACGTGGTTCATCCATGTAAATGCTCTGTAGWCATAGGTACCCGTGGTGTTAGCACCACAAGGCGTGAGAGTTCTGCCTTACAAGTTAGCACATGTTTTTCATGCCTTATCAAATTCTTCATTTCTTTGTGACAATTTTCTACCTTTTTTTCTCTTGCATGGTGTATGTATATGTTTGCTTTTGTAGCTTTTGTAAAATAGCTTTTTTTTTTTTTTTTAATTTTTTTTTTTATTACTCTTCACTCTTATTGCCCGTTTGGTTGTCCTTGAACTGTGAGCTCCTCAGAGGAGCAGTTGACCCTTAAGATTTGGAAACTGCTCCACATGCAAGAGGGAAGGCATTAAAGATCACAGTCTTTCCACAGGACTTAGTGGCCTTCACACAGGACTTACTCTGTGGGCTAACAGTCTTTAGGATGCCTTTTTTTTTTTTTAATTAAATAAAAAAATACTTGTCTTCTCCACTGAAATTGCTTATTCCACATTATCATCAAATCTTCTGACTGAGAGGTGGTTAACTGAGAATAAGGGACAGATTAGAGATAGTCTTTAGGTTTATTCCTTCTAAACCATGCCAAACTGCTTCACAAMTTTTGTCCGGTCTGCCCAAGAGGTATTTGGGTCTCACCAAGAAAATCTGTTAGTTGGCTGGTGGCTAAGGTGCTGAAAGCATGRCATTTTTCATTGAAACAAGGAACTGGATGGAATTTGTCTGTAACTTAATCTGGAAGTAGCCAAGGACTGAATCATTTTCCTTTTAAAGCTATATTTGATCTCCATACTAAGATGCTAATGCTCTTCGGTTATTTGTTTAACTTTGAAGGTCATCATGACAGTGGCAGAGGATCTGTTGTGTTCTGCTTCTCAGAACAGTCGCCTTTCACTGCAGCGAACACAGGCAGGATGGCTGTTGATAGCTGCCCTCATGACATTAGGTAATGGGTTTCTACAATTCTTACTTAAACTAAAATGAACTGTTTTCTCTTCAGTCTCTGATTTGATTCTTGTGMTGTTTCATTTAATTTACAATTGCAGAATAATTCTAAAATAGTAATTGGAAAAAATGAAAAACTTTCTGGAATAAAAATGTCATTACTTTCAAATTTGCTATTGAGTCATCAGGAGCAATGTCTGAAAAAGYAGTGGTTGGGTGGGACCACAGTTAATTGAATATGAAATAAGAATGAGAGTGTATTTCCCTCTTGTCAGACACTTGAAACATTACCGAACTTTCTGATTCTTTCTCTAAATTACTGGTGGCAAATTAGTTTTGTCTATTTTGATCATATTTTAAGCCATCTTTCACATTTTCAACTATTACTTCTTATTCAGGAAAAAATGATGGTTAGAATATACGTTGTACATAAACCTACATCCAATGTTTGCTTTTCTCAACACCATTGGCTGTTTATTAGATCGCTTTTATGTTGGTGCTGTACTGGGTCGTAGCACAAAAAGAGTAAGGTTGCAGTTACTTCGGTGACATACAGTTAGGCATGTCAGTGGGTGTGTAATTGTGTATGAAAATGGAATACCGAAGCAATCAAAACTGAGAAATTTTATATAAGCAGGCTGTGAAAGTAGCATAAAAATTTGTTAAGATGCTTGCTTATCTGAAGCTTTCAYTGTCAGAGCAGTAATGGTTTTGTGAACTTAGAAAAGAATTCAAGTGGATGTTTTAATTCTCTGACTTCTCATATTGGCACGTCACATCTCAATACTGAAAGGTCCTGCAGTTGTCCAACACCATTTGCCAAGAATACTGTTGCTGTGGAAGTGCATCTTTCCATCATCTCCTAAAGATCTAGAAACAGAGAAGACTCGAGGAGATTCATTTACATGGCAAGTAACACTGGAAGGCCGTGCTGGTGCTCTCTGTGGTAAGAGGGATTTGCTGTGTCTTTCTCTGCTCTTACTGTTGGATGATGCTTTTTCTTTTCCTTCTGAAAGAACAAAGATATTTCATGTTGATGTGTATCAGGGATAGAGGGTGGTGACAGAAGAGATGCTACCTTCCCAGCAAGCATGCTTTTTTKTKTKTGTGTGTGTGTAGGTATGTTTTTATATATTTGTGTGTTTGTAAGCACATTTTTTTGTAAAAATAAAGAAATAATCTAATATTGAAGAGTCTAATATTGAAGAGGTTTTCTTCCCCCCCCGCCCGTCTTCTTTAATTGACTTCCAATCTGTAAGTGGTATTAGGAAGGATATTTCCTTTTTTAGTGTTTAACATACMTATCACAGTAATATCTGAGGACCTACTAGGGCAGAGTCTGTTGTTTATACAGCCTACTGCATTTAGTAGTTAAAAGTTCGGCTTCCTAATAGCTTATTTTCTATAAACAATGCAATTAATGGATGAATCAAACATTTTTGCCAGACTGAGAAGAATCAGGTAGAAAATATAGAGAGAATTTTGTGATTCTCAGACAGTAAACAGTGCTATCTGCTTGTCTGCTACTACTGCCTAGTAGGTTGCAGTTTTTCCTTGTGTAATATAGGGAATATGGATTTCCAAGAGACTATTCAAATGATCTGCAAATACTTACTGTATTCCAAGCATATACTCTTTTATACTGAATGGTCTTTAGCATAGCRTAAATAGCCTAGCATAAATATGAGCTCCAGGATAGTGAACATCTTTCTCACACTATTAAAATCTGTTTGACRGTTTAGAATTAAACAGTAGTTTCATTTTAAAAATAAAGTTATTTTTTAAATATTTGTCATTTTTGATAATACAATTGTATATTCTCTATATGAATTTTGAAATACTAACTCAAGTTTGCTTTTTATAAATAATGAAAAATAGAGTACAAATGAGTTGTTCCTTGTAGCACATTAATTAGGCTACRCTTAAAGGAAAAACTAGCAAGTTAAGTGGCAAGATGTCTAGTCATCACAAGTCATCTAGTTACCACCCCCTGAATACATGGACTTATCTCCCGTAGATCAATTAGCAACACAGCAAGAAATGTTTGCAATTCCTGTATGCAATTGGAAGTCAAAGTACTAACATGCCAGCTGAGACACCAAAACATTTAATCAATAAAAAAGATTTTCCTTCAATAGTTCATCAATTTCTTAAATTATGTGTCAAAATTATATTTTCTTTTGTATTTTTTTCTTCTGCTCTGAATGATTAGTGAAGTAATGTTGTAATTTTTCACCATCTCCCATCATCTGATTCAAACTGAGTWAAAATCCAATTCCTTTCTTAGCTATCAAGAGCTTTGTTTCCCACTGTGCTGGTCTGCTTACAGATGAAGTTATTCAAAGACTTCTCCCTCCTCTCCCAAGTGCTGTTGATTTATTGATTCAGTAAGTATATCAAAATGTTAAATGGAATTCTGGATTCAAAAAGCTACAGAGCAGTCTTCTACTTTTAATTTAGTGAGTTGTCTGAAGAACTATCCAAAGTAGAGTAATTGTGGAATTCAGCTCTGTAACTGAACTCTTTGTAGTCTTCAGCTGCTGTGGTCCTGCATCCTGCAGATTTCAGTGTAATGTTAGCAAACTAAAGAAATTATGTTATGCTTTTGATAAGTGAATATCTTTATATTTGATTAAGGAAGCAAATTAATGTTATATATAAATCAAATGAATGCGTGTGTCATTAGTTTGTATAAAATAAAAGAAACACAGTTCAAGTATGCTGGTGCAGAAAGTTTTATAGATAGTCTTTTATTAAGATTGACAGCTGATCTGGAAAGATTTTTTGTGAGGATGTACTGTTTCAATTTTACCTCACTTTAGAATATGGAATATGTAGTGATTCAATGTATTAAAYAAAAATAAGGAATGGGAATGGACAAAGGAGAGATTCTGTCAGAGGTTAAGAATATACATAATTTTGTTTCTGCTGCTGGTAATGCAAATCAGAACTGTAGCRGTAATAAGCACAGTTTTAAGGTATTCAATAGAGCTTGGTACAAGTGAAACCAGAATGTTTAATAATACTTATTCTAACCTGTGTGATGTGTGGGTTTTTTTTATATATCTTAAGGCTTTCTTCAATATATAAACTATATGGCAATTCCTTAAAAACGTCATCAACAGTTTACAGACATAAACTTTATGAATTACTGGCAGTATTACCTCCAAAGACTTATGAAGGTATGTATTTTCTTAGGAATAAATATCTACTAAAAATACCATGAACTCATTTGTAAATTTTCTTTCAATATATCTTAAGATAGCAGGATTTATTTCTCCTTTTAAAATACATAAATTTTATTCCTTCTGTTTAGATTTGATTAAATCACAGGGAAGTCAGTGTGCTTTCCTGCCACCTCCCTTTTTCCTCTGCCTTGTTAGAAATTCAAAGTTGTCATGTGAATTGAGTTTGCCAAAAAAGAACTAGGCGTTCATTCTCTCTGTCCTGAGAGAATATTGCCCATCCTGCCACTGAATTGACTGTGTCCTCCTGAACGTGAAGACAATCCTTATGCAATCTGCTCCATCTAGTGGTAGCAGCTAATTTGATCTTCATAGGAACAAATGTCTGAATTCTTTGCCTTCAAGCTTTTGTCATATTTAAGTCTTGAGTGTACCACTTGGAGGATAGTGTATAATATTTAATTATGAAATGAATTTAGAACACAGAAAATGAGACCTTCATCCTTCACAGCAAGTTATTACTGTTTTTCTTTTATTACTGCAACAAAGTTTTATAGAATACAAGTACCTAGGGCTGAGTGGGTTTTTTGAGCTTTTTGTATGATTGGAATTTTTGCATATACTATAACTATAATGAAAAATGATCAATATTTTGCAATATAACCTGTTATGTCTGAGTCTTGTGAGATCTGTGTCCTAGCCRAAGGTGTTGCAGTTTAAAGCTATTAATGAAAAGCCTTCAAATGCTTCAAATACTGAAAGTTTTGTAAATAACCTTGAAAGCTCATACGTCTTGAGAACCCTTAGAATAACTTAAAAGTAGTTTGTCTTTGAGAAATGTAGTTTGAGTTGTTCATCTATTTGCAATGCAGCACTGTGAAATGGGAAAGAATGGGAATAAATATTTAAATATGTATACAAAGCTTATTTCCAAAATCCTTCATATACTTAACCATGTAACTATGCATTGCCCCCAAAAGCTAAGCAAGTTTCTAAGGCAGAGCTTAGAAAGCATAACTTTCTTTCTAATAAGACAATTTCACAAAGAAATTGAATGTCATTGTAAGTATTAGGGTTTGTTTGTTTGTTTGTTTGTTTGTTTTTAAATGAAGTATTTGAGATAACATGGTTATGGAACTCGTGATGATTTTTTGGGTATCTAGTTTTAGTCATTCTTGTGTTGCACAACTGAGCATGGTTTTCATGGCTCAGCCCAAGACAATGAGAAACTTTTACCAATTCTTGGCTTCTTTTTTTTCCCCTTTACTTGGATCAAGATAATTAACCAGAGGCTGGCAACCTGCAAGTTTCTTTTTGAGGATATTGATATTGGGGTCAAATACTAGGACACAATTAAGAGTTTGCACAGAATGTACAAGGACAGTTTTCTGGAGTACGAATGGAACAAATCAAAATACCCATTAATATAAACAGGAGGAAGCAGATTCTTTTCTTCATACCCCTAAGCCTTTTTCTTAACTTTTAGATTTCTTAGGTCCATGATCTCAGGACTTGGTTACTCTTTGCTTGGTCCTTTCCTGCTCTCTTTCTACCACCGTGAGGTTTCTCCCACTGTTTTCTGTTATCAGCAAAATCAGTATCTGTTCAAAGAACAGAAATATGAAGGCTTATGCTGAGTGTGCATCAGCGCGCAGCAGCTTWTTTTTCGCATGATTTTAACAATGTCAAATATGAGGAAAATATATCAGTTTTTAATGTTTTTCACTAATATAGGAATAAGCATGTTTTAACTGCTTTTGTTTTGAATATGGAAGTGTTCAGTCTTTGGAACTTAGTTGATGAAAACGTGAACTTAAGCTGGAGTAGGTTGGTAATGCTTCTAGGATGATGATTCATGTGCTTAATCATCTTCTTACGTGTCATTAGTTTTGAATGGTGGTGTGCTTATGTTTGTGAGGCAAAACCATTTATTTTCTGTGTTAACATAAAAATTTGGTTGTTATAATATCCAATGTGAGAARTTTTGCACAAGAAATTTCAGTAGTTTGGATTTTATTCATTAGATTRTTGTCATTTTTTATGATCTGAAATTAATGTTTTTAGCAGACAACTCATTAGGGGACTTTTCATTCATAAGCTCTTTGTGCTTCTGTTCCACTGAAGCACTGAGTTCTCTTTCTTAGCAAGACAAAGATGAATAGTTATAATTCTGGCTCAGAATTCTGAACTGCTTTGCRTTGGGGCAATACTATATGAAGAATTGATAATGGCCAAGTGGACCATCATGTGGAACTAAAATAAACCCTTATTTGGTTTACATTAATCTGTTTAAAAGTTGCTGAGTATCTCTCTCAGATCTGATTTGAAAAACTGTTTTCATAAAAGGAGGATTTTTCAATTTTTGGTTTTGGTTTCAAATTTTTGGTTTTAGAAAAAATGATATGCTGGTTAATTTTTCATGGAGGTTAAAAGAAGCAAGAGAGAGAACTTTAGGAACAGAGGCAAAGGAAGCCTGCAGGGAAGAGAGGCCAAAGGAGGCAGAAATGAAGGGAAAATAAAACCCAAGCTCTTTAAATAAAGCTAGACCTCACTGAGCACTAGAACATGATCTCCAGTTTCAAGATCGCTGCAGATCACTATTCAAGGTGACTATTTTAATACCCTAAAATAGTCTGATTTTGAATGACTAGTATTATTGTTGTATATAATGATGTTTGTTTAACTTTTAYATTTTATGTATCAAAATACACAAAAATTTGAAGTACCAGTGCAAATTATCATCTCGGGTCCTACAGTAAATTCCTTATGTTTATTTGCTGCGTGCAAACTTCTGAGATGAGAGAGTATATTGTAAAGCTTTTGGATAGTGACCAAAACAGTGAATGTTTAAATTACACCTACTTGCCAGGCACAAATATTCCTATGTGGCTATGTGATACATTCCACAGTATTAACTTTCAGAAAATTGGTAGTTGATCTATTTTTCTTCTTGTACCTGCCCGTCCTCCACTGAGATCTTAACTGTCAATAAATTAACAGTTTCAGAGTATTATGCCATAAATGGCATTTAGATATGGCATTATGTAAAGGTAAATACCACTGATTTTCAGCTTCTTGATTGCTCTATGTCCTTTCTTTGCTTGTCTTGCATGGTGCTTCATTGTTTCCTTACAMGAAAAGAATATTTTTCCCCAGTTTACTTTGAAGGCCTTAGAAAAATGTTAGATGGATGTCACAATTCTAGTTTAATGTTTAAGCAACAAATTTACACAAGACAAGTAACTTACTGAAAATTGTGAATATTTTCCCTTTTAAATTAAAGGAAGCTTCTCTGCTGTTCTAAAAGAACTAGTGGCTGACTTGACTGTTCCAGATAACCAGATTGATGCCTCTACCTTTTTGCTCCCACCTCTTTGTCATGAGAATGATCTCCTCCTGCTTGGTCCCTTACTGCAGGAGACTGACCACAGATTTATTGAAGAGCAGGTACTTTCTGATCTAGTATAATGGCAATACCATATTTTCATACAATTGTAATTATTTGGGTCAGCATTGATTTAAATTTGGTCAAAATAAGTTGTTTTATCCCTCTTACAGCTCTTCGTAGGTAACAACATAGCTGGGGGCAGCCTGGAGTATGACCCTTACTCAGTTTATGAGAAAGCTGCAAAAGGTGATTCAGTGCCTAAACCTCTACCTCCCATGTTGTCTGTTATCAGTGCAGCAACTCGTCTGTTTGGAGTTATATTTTCCCATGTAACAGAATCTCAAAGGTAAAGTAGTAACTTCAACTGTTGGGGAATTTGGACATGCTAAAAGACGATTAGGCTGTTTGAAATTACTCAAAAAGTATCAGTGTATATTCATAATGTAACTTGATCTAATACTGAATACAGAAAAAGAGAGGGTTAGACAAGGAGACCAAACGAAGGAAAATGCTTGAACCTTAGAGTAACATATTTGTTCCACATCTCTTTCTGTAATATCTAGACTTTATTGTGTGTTTTAAAACAGGATAAAAAGTTTGATTAGTTTTTCTCTTTTTAATTTAATTTTGTTCTGTTTTTTATTTTAAGACTTCAGGTGTTGGAACAGTTGTTGGATTCTATAAAACAAACAAAAGGATCACGGCAACAAATAGTACAACTAAACGTTGTGTCAGCCTTTTCTACTTCCTTAAAGGTAAATCTCCTGCCCCTCATTTGTGCTCACTGTGCTCTGCTCCTTTGTGCTCTGAACTCCCACCCTCTTGTGCACTCTGCATCACTCTCCATAAAATATTGATTCTGAAATAAAAGCAAAGGTTTTTTTTTTTAAGTAATCTCATTATGACGTGCCACTTGCTTTTGCTTGATATTTTATTCCTTTTTTTTTTCCCTTTTGCTCACCTGTAGTTTTCACTCTTCCCTTCTTATATTATCTTCAGACTAAGATTAAAATGTTTTCCTAGCAGAAGAGCTTTTTGTTGTGTTTTTTCTTATTCTCCTAATCCAGCTTTGGCTTAATATTGCAGGAGGAAAATGCTCCTTTCACTTCATCACTATGGTTGACTTTCAAGTGGCATTCAGAGACACTTGAAAAAGGAAATTTTAGTTATCTGAAATAACTTCATGTTACTATTTTATTTTTGATGCATACGCTTGATTTGTCAATGACACTCAAGACCGTATCCAGATTTCACATTAATCTCTACACAGTGTTACCTATTATCTGACTGTAAAATTGAAGTGCTCTTGTGATTAAACAAAAGTTGAAGTGCAATTAAGCAGAACAAAATATTGCAAATAGTTGCCCTAGTGCCCCAGTTTTGGAAATGATACTGTCCAATTGTTGGACTGTGTAAAATATTTTCCATTACAAAAATAAGATTTTAAAATAGAGAGAGGGAAAAACCAGATTGTTCTTCATGATGTCTTAATGTTATACTGCAGTTAATTTACTGCATTGGAGTGCCATTTTTTCCTATGTAGTGCAAGCATTGTTGTTAGATTCTACATACTTCAGTGTTTTCTACTTTTGGTCTTCCTTTATCTGTTTGTTCCCATGATTTGATATGTTCTGCTGGATAATTGTTGAGAAAATTGAAAGTATTGTAGCCCTGAAGGGGCTATCATTAACATACTGATGATGAGCATATGGCTTCCTAAGTCRCAAATAAAATTCTAGGATCTGGACAAACTGTCCAATACAGAGGTGTACATTSAGCTCCATGATCTAGAGAAACCAATATTTAGGAGAATGGAAGATAACACAGATAGTACTGAGTCAATTGGGATGCGTAATGCACGTCTTCCTGGCTGCTTTTCAAGTCGGGCTGTGTCAGTAGGCTCATAGCCAGTGATGAGCCTGGGTGCTTAGGCTGGAACTGCTCCCCTCTGCGCCTGGGACTCGTGARGAGGCCCTGGCTCGGAGCAGTGCCAGGCTCACGTGTAAGCAGCATGTTCATACAGTGTGCCTGCCCTGACAGAGCCCTGACACTGCAGACAGGCCTGGCCCTGCAGGAACCTAGAAACAGCCCTGTCTGAAGCTCCTAAGCCCTGCTCTTCCAGCACTGCTGCAGCTGATCGTGGCCTGAGCACGCCTGAGCAGGGAGGGCGCTGTCTGTGAAGCCCAGACACTCTGTGCCCTGTGAGGATGCCCGCCGTGAGCCTGGGTTGGAGCCAGCCTTGAAGGGACTGCGGGCACGTTTGCATGGCATCACACCTGTGCAGTTATCCTAGGAGGCMCTGGATGCCTCTGTATAGCACTCGGTGTATGTGCATCTCTGACATAYTTAATAAGCAGTTCAGGTGGCTGCTGTGGGTCTTGCTCATGCTCTTTTTTTTTTGACTGGGACTTTTGTTTGTGACATTATTTTATTTTCATTGGGTTTCTCCTTGATAATATGTCCTGAATTTTCTGTGAGTCTTTTGATTTATTTTATATTACTACTACTGCAATTTACCTTTTTTTTTTTTTTTTAAGCTATAACGCTGATACTATAGTGTTGTGAAATAATATACACTTATCTGGAGTTATACTTCCAAATCTCTAAACATTGAGTAAAATCAGAGACCCTCTTCAGATAAAAGTGGGCAAAACTCAAATTTCTTCTGCTGGTTTTACAGTTCTCTATGACTAAAAAAAAAAAAAAAATTAATTCTGACTATTGTCCTGTCTTGCTGTTCAATGTATGTTTTTAGCACTTGGCTAGCTGCAAAGGACATTTAGGTCCAGAAGAAGTTAGAAGATCTGCCCTGGCGTTAGTGATGGGTGCCTTGGAAAGCAATAACCCTCTGCTAAGATGTGCTGCTGCAGAGTGTTTGGCCAGGCTGGCTCAGGTGGTCTCTGACAGTGCCTTCACTGCTGGATTAGCACAAGTTAGTTTTGACAAGTAAGTTCAAAAATATAGCAATTGGTTGATCTACCTGATCCCCAGAATGATAAAAATTTAAAGAAAAGTCATAAAAGATGGTTTATCTGATGAGTTTTTGTCAGGTAAATTAACATGAAAAAGTACTGCAAGATTTTGCATTTAGATCCTGATTTGGTTGCTGTTTAAGACAACTGTTTAAGTAGGCATATAGACATTTGAATAAACTAAGTTGGCTGCTGTTCTAGCAGTCTCTTTTAAACATATGTAAAATGTTTTTGGTGTTTCTTTCAGTAGTGATAAATGAAACTGCATTTTTGGCAATATAGGAATGTCTAATAAAATACTTTGTTGATCATATGCCAGAAATTCCATTTGTAAATATTCTTATTACACAGTASCAGCATTGTTGATTACATTAACTTTTTTTTTTTTTTCCTTCTTCTTCTTTTTCCCTGAATAGGCTAAAATCAGCTCGGGATGTGGTATCAAGAACAGGTCATTCTTTGGCTTTGGGATGTCTGTACAGGTACCTCGGAGGAATAGGTTCTACTCAGCACCTGAATGCATGTGTTGGAATCCTATATACCTTATCTCAGGACAGTACTTCTCCTGATGTACAGGTATTCCTTACTTAAAGTCTTATATTACAAGTTACCTGGAAACTTTGTAAAATTTCAGGATGAAAAATTGTTCTTTCCTCTGAAGATAACACTGCATAAGCTGTCAGCTGTAACTCGTGAGTGATGGCTGGAGCAACAAAACAGATGGAAACCGTAGCCTCAGCTTAATATCTGCCTTCCAATGAATAACAGTGGTTTGCAGTCTGAATGCTGTAGAACTTGGTCAGTGCTTCCTTGAATAAGGCAAGATGCTTTGAAGAGTACTTCAAATGATTTCTTTTTGGCTAGAACTGTTGGCTATAAGAGAAGCTTTAACAGACATGGAGTATATTTCATATATTTGTCTAAATCATAAAGTTGGTTTTTGTTGTTGTTTTTTTGTTTTGTTTTTCCCTAAGCTTTACCTACTGTATCTTTGGTATGGATACTGATGCAAAATTGAATACTTTACAGTACTAAAATAAAAAGTTGCTTCAATCACTTGTATTTTTGCTATTCTATTCTTCTTTCACATGGAAGCGTAAGAAATTTTGGAAACAGTATTTAAAGAATAATCCTAYACTATTAAGTTAGTTTATTCCTTTTTCTGGAAATCTACAGTGTCAAGATTAGTATGGTTCTTAATTGCAGAATCCCTCTTAAAATATTTATCAAGATGGTTTATCAAGGACTATCTTACAATTCTGTTCATAGCCTCCCTATATATCTCTTCAGAAAGTCAGGCTCTTGGTTACGCTTATATTGAGATCCATTTGAGACTGTAAATTTAAAGAAATGAGTCTGTGTATGTTCTGTTTCTTAGAGATTCTGCATGACTGCATCTCTTACTTTACAGGCATGGGCACTACACTCCCTGTCACTGGTAGTAGATTTGGCAGGTCCCTTGTTCCATGTGCACGTGGAACCTACCTTATCTCTCATTCTCATGCTGATGTTGACCGTGCCTCCTGCTTACACTGAAGTTCATCAAAGTCTGGGTCGCTGTTTAAATGCACTTATTACCACCTTGGGTCCTGAGTTGCAAGGTACAGTAATATTCAGTAGTGTCATGTTTTTTAGGTTTAGAAACAAAAGTGTTGAACGTCTGAATGTGTAATTGAAATTTTGTAAATAAATGTGTGCTAATGTGTGTCCTGCTAAGCTAAGCCATAGGACATGAGTTCATGCAGTCAAGATGGCATGACCGCTACTTTTCCAAAAGCCCTTTCTTTGTGAAACCTTTTTCATTGTTTAAGGAAGTTCTCCAAACCCTGATTTGGCCAGACAGTTTTTATTTTCACCCTGAAAACAGAAGTTATATTTAAAAAGATGTTAGAAACCAATATATATTTTACTAATCATGCAGGCATTTAATGTGCACCCCCCTARAATCATGTGCCTAAATTGAACTTTAGATACCTGGATACTGAAATTTTCACAGAGCGATATGACCTTTGTGTATTGATATCAGAGTATAAGGCAGACACTGATAGTATATTAACCTTTAAGAGGATGAGATATGCCAGGATTTGGGRGGTGGGGGGRAAAAGTTTTCAGATTTTGAAGGAAAATTTATGCTACAAAGGTTTTGTTTGTTTTATTTTATTTGCTTTCCTCTGGATATAGGCAGCAGTAAAACAGTTTCAGCCTTAAGAACTTCTTGTCTTCTGGGCTGTGCAGTGATGCAAGATAATCCCGACTGCCTTGTCCAGGCTCAAGCCATCTCTTGCCTTCAGCAGCTTCACATGTTTGCTCCTCGACACGTCAACTTGTCTAGCCTTGTAAGCTGCCTGTGTGTGAGTATATATTTATTGATCTCTTGTATATTAAAATATTTCATCCATAGATATTTAAAAAAGGCAGATAGCTTTTTAGTGAAACTATTGTAACGTGGGTGAGCTATTTTACTAGCCAGTATTTTCCTCTGCTCCCTTTGTGTCTCAGCTGAAGGATTGATTTAAAGCCTGCAAATTTTTTTTTTTTTTTTTTGAATGGTGGGGGAAAAAATTCAATTTACAATTTGAATTGTGAACACTTCCACGTACTGACTTTTTTGTTAGTCAATAGAAAAATTTCCGACACTGATATAAATAATAGGCCTTGAAAAATAGGGTTTGTTTTCAAAGCATCTTGGTCTTGAACTAGCCTGTTCGTCAACACATAATTGTGTCTCTTTAGTGGCTATTATTTTTGTTTGTTTGTTTTTAATGATGACTGTCCATCCTCCTCACAAATTAGGGAGCAAAGTAAGACAGTCTGTCTTTCTGAGAAGGTCTGAGAAAGACTATCAGGTCTGTCTTGATGCAATTCTTATGCAAATATTTACCTGGGTAGCATCTGAATACCAATAGTAGCCACTATTGATACTGATTTTAGAGAGTTCAGATTCCTTCCATTTTTCTTAATTCAGTTTTCCTGTTAAAATGATTGACCAAGCCAGGAAACATCAAAAGAGAAGCTCAAGCCACATGTTGTGTAAGACATCCATGGATTAGCTGCAGAAGAACTGGAATTTGGCTGACGTGTTCTTTCTTTTACCATATTCCAAACATGATTTTATCTTATGGTAAAAGAAAGTTTTCCATGCATCAGTTTAATCACCACATATCATATGAGACACCTCTCTTGCTCAGTCGTTACATTAGCATTTGGATCATCCAGGTCCCTGGAGTTTACGCTTTGTTTCCATGTGCAGTAGGATCTCTCTAATTTGTTACAAATAGTTAATAAACAGCAAGATGTGACAAGGTCTTTGGACTTAAAAATCATCTCAAAGTATTTCATAAAGTACTTATGTACTTTATAATAACAGTGAAATTACTGAATTAAAGAGAAACATGGTTCATGGCTTGGGTGTGTGTGTACTCTACCCTAAGAGTACAATGAAATTCAGAGGAGAAGATTCTGTCCAAGTCAGCAGCCTTGCATGGGTGAACTCCTGTAATTCTGCAGAGCTTGTTACAGAACTAAGGAAGATGTTTTAGATGCTTTCAATTCCTGAGTAAGCATCAGTGCATAGTCATAGATGAGTAAGCTCTGTCTGCTTTGCCGGTCAGTGAGAAGATCACGGCTCAGTCAGACCTCTGCTTTCAAAAAGCTCCATGTCAGCATCTGCAGTTTCACGGGTTTTTCCTTGGGTTTAAATTGCTGCATGTGGAAAACAAGGTGTGACTGTCCTTTACACAAGGCATCTTGAAACTTTAGGATGTGAAAGCCAGATACCAAGGCCTTTTAGTATTCACCACTATGTTTTTTTAAGGCAGGAAAACAGGAAAGGCAAAGAATCTGTGGAGCTTCTCGTCTTTCCYATAAGTGAGATAAGTTTTTTTTGTGTAAAAAACGATACAAGTCCTCTTTCTGCAATTTCTCCCGAAGGTTTCTGGGAAATATCTACAGCTTTAAACTTACTTTTAAAATGCTCGAATAGAGTTTCTCTCTCCTCCTCTCTCTTTATAGGTCTGAGTCGAGGCAGGCTAGCACTGCTGCAGGCAGGAGTGTGCTGCCTCTGCCTGTCTTCCCACTGCCAGGAGCCTGGTTTGGCTCAGCTCCCCRCACTGCTCTGGCTCTTCAGATACTGTCTATGTTAGTACTTCTGAAAAGTCTGGCTATGTAGACAGCATCCCTGATTCCACATATATATATGTATATATATGAAATTTTTTATATATATATGTGTGTAAATATATATATATAAATAAAAATGCATACATGCGCCTGTCATGTAGATTCCATTCTTCAGCTTACAGTATTCCTTTTTTGTCAGTTGGCTCTTTTTCAGAGTATTGTTTAATTGCAATTRCAATTTGCTCTGTCTTCAAATTCTTGGCTCCAGAGGAATAGAAATCAGAGGCTTTTGCTTATGTCTAATATGAACTGTAAAGCTAACTGCTGTGAATTCAGACTTGTAAATGGTTATCTGTGTAAGCTTGCAGTGTAGCGAACCCTCCAGTTTCCATCTGCAAGACGTTAAAGATATTTTGAATAGTAGTACTGTATWTGTTGTCAATAACTACATTAAGCTGTTGTTTTATAGATACTGTGTATTTTAAGTTCTCATTTTAGCGGCAGCTGGCTTGCAGTTTAAGAGTGTTTGATGTTAAATGTACGACAATTGAACGAAACTCGTTCGGTTTTTGGTTTGTTTGAGATATTCTGAATTTTATATACACTGAATTTACATGTAATAGTCTCCTTGTGTGGTTGGTATCACTGTGGTATTTATATTTTGGTTTTGTCRTGACTGGTTTGTCATTTGTTTTTGTGCAGGAGATCTTGTTGGATAATTCTGTGTTGGTAGGTCCCCGTGCCTTGTTAATCTAAAAACTTCAGCAGTTTGCAGTGTTGTTTGTTTTGGTTTGTTTTGTTTTTCCCCTTGACTTTTATCTCTTCCTTTTAACCATTTTTAATGTCAATTCTTTTAAGCATGTCAAGTGACATTCATTTGATTCTCGTTCTAACCAGACCCTGCCTAACTTTCTGCAGCTGGCACGCGTGCATACCATTCGTGACAGCGGTTTTGATTTCCACATGTGCATTGCAGAAAGGGAACRACTTGTTTGTTGAAGCTTGTGTGTGATGCTTGCGTTTTGTGTTTGTTTCTTGTTCCCATCCCTTACTTAAAGTGCGGAGAATGAGAGATGAAAAATGTCTCGTGTATTTTCCAGTAGCCTGAATGAGGGTCTCTGGTTTTSCCGTATTAAAAATGAGCATGCAATTTATGCACGTCCGACTTGCAGCAGAATGTGTAGCCTGCTTGAATAGATGTTACATTAAAAGCCTCATTGGCTGCTTTAAAGTTCCCTCCAGGTATCTTGCAGACATACCAACTGAGTCAGGGTTTTTAAAGTGTTACACAGAGAGTGCATCTTTGTGTCTATGAAATGTATAATTCTAAGTCTTGCAGTTCCACATGCATGTATAAGAATTGGAAAGGCACAGCTTAGTTCAATTCATGCATCAAAGCTGAAATTCTGTGTCACTTATTGTTTATTTCCTTGACATGTTGTCTGGAATCTCATTTTAACTAACACGTTGGCCTATCRCTGATGTGAATGAGGAGCATGATCTAACGGAAAGTTTTTACTGCAGCAGACACTCAGCTCTATCACAATTCATGATGGTGATAGCTACAGATGGATAGACGGCTACAGAACTAATTAGTTGTCAAGGATATTCTTTTCAGTTACGCATACCTCCATATTTGATTGTTTAATCCAAACTGATAATAAATATTGGTGTAGTTATGCTGCTTGGCCACACAGCTGATTCGATGTATCTGTGGATCCCCTTCAGAATGGATTTAAAATGAAAAGAAAGCCTTCCCTTCCCCCACCCTCAAAAAAAAAAAAAAAAAAAAAAAATCCAATGCTTCACCCTAAGAAAAAGCATTGAGGCCATGTGGAGTTTTTTTGTTTGTGTTTTTGTTTGTTTGTTTTGTCTGTAATGAAAAAACACATGATTTAAAAAACCACAAAATCACAAACACAAAAA